CAATCTTTAATTCAATACCTCTCTCCTCCTTTTTGAACATTGAAAAGGTTTATGATGCCTCATTTAAATTGATATTTTCTAACTCTAATTCGACAATAAATTGTTTTAATAAGAATTATCTCCAAACTTTATCAAAGGAAAAAATTAAGAAATTTAAATCTAATTTAAAAAATGAATCATCTGTTGCTATAATTTCATCTAATGATAAGTTGGACATGCTATATGAAAAAATGGCTATATATAGCGAATTATTTTATTCGATTAAAATTGCTAGGTTAAACCTATTATTTTAGTACTTAACAGGATCATAAAATGAATAGTTCTAAAAAGTGTAATTTTATACCTCATGTAGTTCTTAATCAATTAAATAATAAAGAATTAAGGATCTAGTTTAATTTTGTATTGAAAATATAGAGTAACATTTTTACATATTTAAAGCTAGAATAGAAATAATATACGATTCTTAAAATTGAAAGCATCTGAAAACTTCTTTACTTTCAAATGCAACAATCTTTGAATATTGAATTAACTTTAGGTTTTTAGACTCAAAATAAAATAGAATAGGTTCAGGTTAATAAAGATTTTTTTATAGTTAATATCTTACAACTCGGTCAAAATTGATTTATATAATAAAAGGTAAACTCGAAGTATTCGTGTAAATAATTAAACTTGAATGAATTTTCTTAAAACTTGTAACCAATTCATTTATGTTTAAAATGAAATAAGAAAGGGAATCATCTGAAAACTAAATTCCTGTCAAATCATTATTATTACTTTTATTCACAAAATAATAGGCTATATCATATTCAAGTACATAATATTTATCTTAGTTTACTGACATCACTATTCTTTTTTTTTGGCAATCATAGATATAAAAATACGATTCATTTATGAAACTGATATGACCTTTTGCGATCTTTTTTAACTAAAACCTTTCTTGGGAATACAATTTATAAAGATTTGCAAAACAAATGTCTTAGAAGTCATAATTGTTCTTGATACTTACTTTGAGATTACCTTCTTTATTATATATATTATAAGTATTATTTTTAAAGTAATTCGGGTTTTTAGAATTCCAGAATATTTGCTACTTATTTTTACAATTATATTGAAATTTCATCAATTCAGTGAGCTATTTTTCTGTTTAAGTTTTGTTTTCGGATAACAATCTAAAACATTAGATAATCCCATCTCTTTTAAATAAATTTCCTTTTTCTATTATATAAATATACTATTATTTAGGTTCTATAAAAGTACTTAATGGTTAAAATTTATAAAATTATAACACATTTTTCTTCTAATCAAATTAGCAGAATAAATTATCAAAATCAAAAAATTACAACGAGGTGTTGCAAATTTGATATGTCTAATTAATCCGAATATTTATTAATACATTTAATTCAAATTAGTTTTATAGAAAAATAAGATTTTAATGAAGATGAATGTTATTTATTGAATAATTTTAATTCAATAGGACCTCAGTTTATATTTAATCATGAATTATTGATAAATCATATTTATCTAATTCATTTACTAATATTATCTTTTAACATTTCTGATTTAATAGCATTTTTTTAATTCGATATGGCAGCTTCGTAAATATGCAATCTACAATTTTCTTATCAAGCAAATGATAATACAAAATCACATAAAAATCATTTTCTATCAGATAGATACAAATAGTCTAAGAATTCATTTCACAATAAACTACATCATCAATAAAAGTGAGCCCTGATAGTTAAGTCTAATATTCCATTTTGGCTTAAATTAAAGTAGCGGCTTCATTGTTCGTAATTAATATAACCTTCCATTTTGAACATTGATAAAATAACAATATTTATTAGTCTTAGACTTATTTAATTTATTTTTTTTTGCATTTATCCTCTATTTGTTCTGAAACATCATATTCGAAAATTAGATTCACATTGCCTTGAAAATCCAAAGAATATTATTTTAAAGTTGACTAACCAAGACAAAATAAACTTAAACTACCATTTTCATTTGTAAACAGTTCATAGCATGTTTCATCAGATGATATTTTTGTATCTATTCTAAATAATTCATTATAATTAGTTTATTCCTCATACAAAATTAAGTCAAAACCCATACAAGTAATATAATATTCAAGATAAACGAACAAGGAGCACATCAACTTTACTTGTATTTTATTCTGATTCTATGAATCGATGATTCTTATTAAAATAGGTTCGCTAGCATATGGAATTTAGAATAACTTTGTTACAATTTGAGTATTGATCTGTCTGAGATTTTAAAAATCTTCTTCATCTCCTTCCATAATACAACACTTGAATGAAAATTAGTAGCAAGTTATTTAATGTTGTTTTTGTAATTCAATGCACTTTGAAGTTAAGTAGTTTACAAGGTATCCTAATACTATATATAAAACTTTCATATAATATAAGAAACAATAATATATTATATATGAATCATTTTCCGAATACATTATTTATAATCTAATCTAATAAATTGGTTTGTTCCATTCAAATTTTTATCTCTAACCTTTAGCATTATTATATATACATCTAATTATTGTATAAAAAAATAATTGGAACTTTTTTAAGGCGTCCTGATTAACATTTAATAAATGTTCAAAATATTTTATATCTTGAACAATATCTCTAAGTTAAACTATTAATTTTTATCACTTAAAGTCTTCGTTTAACTTCAATGAATAAATTCAAATAAAGAAATTATTTTCTTATTCAAAGAATACTAAACTAAGATTAAATGAATGGATATTAAATAGCTGATGAAGTAAATTGAAAATTTGATGTTAATTGAAAAATATAAACTCTAGTATTTCAAATTAACATTTATTTTTATCAAAATCAACCATTTATGACTTGCTATATAAATTAATATATAATAAAATAAAAATTTCTTCTTATTTCTAATATTGATTAGATTTTTATTATTTTAAGGTTTAATTCCTTAATGTTATAAGCAAGTATCCTCAAATTAATAATATTGATGATTTAATAAAATAATATTTTCTTATATCTCATAATACGAATGCACTGCAATTATCAAGAAATTCTTTGCATCCATGATAATGTTTTTAATCCTATAAATATTTTTATTTTAAAAATAATGCTGAAAACACAATTACTTTCGATGCATCCTCTGTTCTCTAAATTAATAGATCATCTTAGCTGCAATCAATTCTATACTCCACATTTAAGGTTCATTAGGAATTTTAAAACCCCTTGTTAAAATTGTCGATTTGTATTCTCTAAATCCACCTATTTTTATTAGTGCTTCTACAAGACAACAGCAGCATAAAAAGGACTGGGACTTGTGAAAATAGCTCCTGTCCAATTTTCAATTCCATCAACTGTTGTCCCTAATTGAATATGACCATTAGGCGTTTTTATTTTTCCATATTTTGTTTATGCTCCAGATGGTTACAATCCAACATCAAGAATAGGTTTTAAACTTTTATATTAAGTTTCATGATAGCAATGAGAATATTATGTCTTGTTCTTAAATAATTTTTAATTATCAACACCTTTCACTTTTCTATATATCCTTATCATATTATCATTCTCTGATCTTTAAATATGATCGACTAAGTTATCTCCTTTCAATTCATGATAACACTTTAAGATAGGATGTCACGAGCTTGTTCTGATCTATTACTTTATGGAATTTGTTTTAGTCTCATCTACTTCCATAAATATTTTTGACATTTTCGTTAGCACCATAACTAATTAATAGCCCAATCACTTTTTCATGACCATCATAGCTGGCCACATACAATGGCGTGCTATTCGTGTTTTTTTATTAATCTATATTACAAACAAGTACAAGTAAATATTCTACGCTCTTCAAGCAATAAATATCAGAAATTAGAGCTGCTTCATATAATCCATAACGTTCCATGTTTAATCTATAATAACCTTTCTAATTCTTAGCCTCAACATATCTATTAGCTTCCTTTGTTGAAATTTAATCAAATGCTAAAGTGGCTGCAATTCTTACTGTAATTTAAGGTGATAAAATTTTCTTTTTATCCCTTCTCTTGCTTCTCCAGAATTTTCAACTTATAAAATTGTTAATGGATGAAAAGTAAACTTACTCTATTTTATCTAATTAATCATTTTTCAACCCCAATTGCAATCATTATGATGGTGATTTATTGTTAATGAATCATACAACAGCAGTGAGATATATAAGACGGTAGTGATAATTTCTATTTGATTATATTTAATATTATTTTTTTTATCAAATTTAATAACTATTGTTATAAAAATATTAGATTTATGCGAAAAATAGGCAGGAAAAACCACAATTAAATTTGTGTACTGAAAAACTCTCAAATCAATCTTCTGGCTTAAAATAAAATTTACTTATTCGGATATTTAGCTAATCAATCAATTATAAATATGATTTATAAAAAGAAAAATAATTTCCTTTTCTTTTTAGATGGAATGGATTAAGGTCCCCCGTTATATTGTCATTGGCCAGATCAAGGACTAGATTTTCTTAATATATTTCCTGTACCATTTCACAGTCTCTCTAACTTCGCCCTAAGGAGTTTACTCTTCTCTTCTCTATCTAAGTTAAGCAGACTTAGTAGATAGGTTTGCTTGCTTGAGCACTGCTTTTACCAAAGGTTTCTCCTGTAAAATATACCAAGAACACTATGGGTGTTTACTTGCTGAGAACATGATAATCCTATACAATCTAATTTATTATGTAATATAATTGATGGCATATCAAGGAGTTGATTTATAATCCTATCTAGAGTCAATTTAATCTTGACTTTTATTTAACCTCTTATTCTGCTGATTTATTTTTGGTAAACATTGAATATGCTACTATGTACCATTCTCTAACCTCTTGTAGATATCTGAAAGAGCGGTACCTATTTTTGTGTCATTATTTTTCCCGCTTATTTTTGATTTCCTAACATTCAAAACAAGTTTAAAGTTCATCAGGTTACTAGGTAATCATTTCAATCCATAAAAGATAAATCTTAAGTGTTATATTTACAAAAATAATCAAGGATTTTATAAAAGTAAATTACATTAAAATTGAAATTGTCTTTCACTTAATCATAGATTATTTAAGGTTCTCTTCTTTAACCAAAATAATACTTATTAATTAATTTTACAAGTGTCTTCCCTTTAAATTAAATACCCAATTTTATCACATGATTTCTGTTCTGCAGATCTTGGAAATAATTTATATTCTCTAATTAAGATCGTAGCTAATTTAATTATGATTGGTTTGACTTTTAAAAATAATTTTTTTTAAATTTTGAATTATAATAATAGTTATTATCGCTTTTGGATTATGAATTTCTTTTAAAAGAGATATGAAGAAAATACATTGGTTATTTTATTATTATATTTCAAATATTATTATGACTATATTAAATTTATTATAAAAAAACCTCCAGGCTGAGAGATTACATCCAAGTGTAATTACTGAAGGCCAGAATAAGAATTTATACTCATACCATCATACACAATCTCAGAAGAAATTTACTAACCATCAGATCAACCCCTTTAAAATCTGTCCTTTTTAATAGAATTCAACATGATTAAGCTCCTTGGGCTTTGAGCCTAAATCCAATCACTCACTGTAGACATCATCAGCCAAAAATTTCGCATAAGCCCATCAGGGTGATACACCAAAAGCCTCTCTGCTAACACTAGTATATTCCTAATTATATAATAGAATATCCCTCTTAGTTACATTTCTCTCTGCAGCCCACTATCGAATTAACTGCTCTCATATTTCAAGTGTCATTAATATCACTATTCCTTCATAGTGCTTGAGGATGACCTAAGATATATTGCAAGGAATTGCTTAACTCAGAGAAACTTATACCCAAGAGGATTTCAACACCTTTTGTACTTGTGTTTTACTTTTTGGGTGTTTCATAACTCAATCTTAAAACCCAATAGAATCTCTTTGAATTTATTGTCACAAGCAACTAATCTACTTTTATAAATCTTCAGAGGAGGAATGATTTGCAAAGATAACAAGGTTAACTCTTCTCTTTTCAGCCACAATCTATTATTAAAATCTCTTAACTATTTTTTGGTGCTCCTTTATTATTATGAAACCTTATTTCTCATACCTAAGTGTTTGGGTTTAGAAGTTCAAGAATTCATTCAATTTTCTCTTTGAGATGGTTCTTTTCTTGGTAGCTAAAATTTAAAATCTAATAGGATATCTCCTGTTCCCTAATAATGCATCCTAAAACTTACATCCACTATTTTAGTTATTATGATTATCACAGCCATATCCCATACACAGCTTGACTTTCCAGTTCACCGAAGGAATCAGTTGAGCATCCATATCCCTATGGTAGGCTTCTTTGATCATCTAATTCTTCCTTCATGAGAACGACAATACGAAGATTTTCATTTCCTCTCATTAATTTAACATTCTTCTATCGAATCTATCTCTTAAACTGTTGAATTATTAACACAATGAGAATCTATATTCGGCTTTTCTTCAACTCAAAAATCTAAATTATCTCTTAGTATTTATTTATTAAATATTTTATAAAGTTTTAAAAATAGCATTTGTTCTTATAATGTAATCAAATTTTCAATTCTTTAGTAAATTTAATTGTTTTTATATTTTTATTATTTTATTTAAGTTATCTTTGTTTTTGTTTTTGATGTATTTTGTAACTTTCTTCTACTCTTTGTTCCTTAACTAAAATAAGAAGTCTAAGATTATTTTACCTCAAATACTTTATCGAGATAGATAATTTACAACTAAATTTTACATAGAGAGCATGTTTCTTTTTCAGTTTAATAAGTCAATAAAATTCCTTCATATTGATATTTGTTGCAGCAGATTGAAATAAATAACAATAATTTTCAAGCAGCAACTCTGTGGACTAAAAGTTACCTAAATGAAGATCTTTTTTATTTTTAAAAAAGAAGTTTAACCTTTATCATGCTTGTAGAATAACTTATCCACGCTCTGCTGTATATTACATTACACTTTAAGTGAACTAATTTAATAATGTAATTCAAAAAAAATAAATTATATTTTCTGGTTAGAGTAAGAGTAAATAACTCAAAGTGGAGAAAATTGAAGGAAATGTGGGGCATGATTTTGACATGAAATTATGAGATAAGAACCAATTCATGGGATTGGGGTTGGGGTTTGGGTTTGGGGTTGGGGTTGGGGTTGGGGTTGGGACAGCAAACTTTGTCCCTTGTCCCTGTAACACTTCCGAAGCTC